TTTCAAGCTATCGACCGCAGGCCACTCGATGTGACCTCTTGTTTTACGACCTGTATTTCTAGATAGTAAATCTTGTCTAAGGACCTTACACCCACATAAAACTGTTTTACATAAAACTGTAGTACACAAATTGTTATTTAATATGAAAATTAAGGTCAGCTCTTCACTTTCCAAACTTTAAGATCCCTTCCAATTATTTATAATAATCTTCCCCAATTTAAATATTCTCAGAAACTCAATCTATACTTCTACATATACTATTATAGTAAAGCGTAAACACACACATCTTTGTTGCCTAAGATGTCAGAAATTACAGCATATTTTTGAATAATTCTTTTTTATAAAAAGTCCTACTTACGTCATTCTTTAGGCTATATATTTCCACGCCATTAAAGTTAGGGGGTAAATATTTTGGATAAAAACCCTAGGGTGACAAAGAGACCATAATGCCAACATCAAGGAAGCAAAATTGCCATGCTTTGTCATCATGTCATGTCTGTCATTTTGACATTTGTAATTGAATTTGACAAATGTAATTAATAAAACAATTTTCATTATATCATGCGAATGAAGTCGCACGAGAACAGCTAGTATTTAAAATCAAGATAATTAAATTCGTCTTGATCCGCATATAATACTTTAGAATAAGAAATGTAAATTTGCAAATTTATGAAAACTGTATTATTATAATATTTTTTATTTACAAAATGGTACATTGTAAGCAATCAGCTCTGTAGTCTCACGTTTCTACCATAATTAAATGAAATAAGTGTTCTGCATTGACAATAGTGATAATTTTGTGTCCACATAATCGTTTCTAGAATTCAAATGTATGTAGTTAACATACAAAGATATTGTTGCCTTTGAAATAAAACACTAGTGACAATTAAATCAAAACGAATTCTCCTTTCTTCCTTTTTCATAAAAAAATAAATCAAACAGGACTTTTTTATATCATAATGTAATAAACAAGCAAGCAGCCAATTGAATTCGCTGCAATATGAACTGCCCATAGGCATCCACAAGTAGTTTGAACAGGGAAAAGGACGCACATAAAACAGACATTTTCACTTCCTACACATCTTTTACAGAATCAAATCATCTTATTCTTCCTATTATTTCCTTATAAGAGCGGGAAGGAAAAGGGGGACTAAAATTAAGCCTCCGGGATGCCTTTTTTTATAACATAAAGTGACAAACGAGCAAGCGGCCACCTGAATTCACCGAAATGGAAAGTGACCGGTGCCCATAAACATCCGCAATTGCAGATGCGTTGACTACTCTTGACGGAGGAGACGTAAAGAGGAGATTTCCCTCTTCCTATGCGTCTCCTCTCCTCATTAGACGAAACGCGGAATTGCTTTTACTTCACGCCTTTTTACTGTGTGGTCGTGGTATTACACCCGGCGAGCCGGGCCATTCGTGCAAAGATGTTAAAGCGGGCTCTACCACTGTTTAAGCCTAACTCTGTATACGTTTTTCAGCAGTACCATATTAAAGTACCACATTGGATAGATTCTTCTCATGATAAGTAACGTTACTTCTTATTATAAAAATGTAAAGCATAGGTATTTTGGTTTACTTTTATAACTTTTTTGCGCTTTCAACTTACAAAGAACTGGTTTGCAACTGTAAAATTTCGGCCATCTTTTCCTTTGTCACAGTTGAGTGGGAACGTTTATTTACTTGCTATGAATGTTTTTTAAACAGTTTAAAAAACATTGAAATATGATCCAATTAAATTAGTTGTTTTGGAAAAAAAAAGGTGGGGGTCTTCCTAGTTATGTGTTGTTTTATTACATTATTTGTAAACGTCAATTACCTTAATTATAATTCTTTTGACAACTTAATTAAATCAAATGGTTATCACTTGAACTTATTACCTTAATTAATGTTTTTTCTCGTACTTGTATTAGGCAATTTATTTCCTTTTATTTTCACTTATAAAGGAACTGTCATTACCTCGCATTTACATGAAAATAATAGTAAATCAAATACCCTTGTGTTTTTGTCTAGCTTCTACTGTCCCACTGGGTTGCCTGTAAAAAATTGCTTTCAAGCATAAGGCCGCACTTATCCAAATTTTGTATTAGCATACTTTAAGTATAGGTATAGTAAATGTGCAAAAAGAATTAAATAGATAAATAACATCCCATTCTCCTTGAAAAAAAAATCTGATATAGTAATATGTTTAAAGAAACCTATGTTCAAAGAAATATCTCGTATATTGTAATTTTAAATTCCTTTGTAAAATCATGCAACAAAATTATTTTATCCTCAGTCACGTCAACCATCAAACTTTAATACGTCACACATTTTAGTATTAACTTTTGATGCATCGCTTTCAATATGATTGAGATGAAAGGACACGAGAAGGTTCCCTCGTAAAAGTGTAAATTTATAAAGCACTCCTTTCTATCCATTCTTTCCTATAAAATGTTTGCTATCGTAAATATTGCTTCTATACATTTATAGTTCACGTTTATGCCACAAGTGGATACTACGCGGTACACGTTACAAGAAAATATGCTACACTCAGTATCGTAAATATTTTATATTTTAAATGTATTATATTCCGACTGAATATTCCTGTATTGTACAATTTCATAAAACTCAATGTGAAACGAAACTTGAAATTAGTAGAATAAGATGCAGCCATCAGAGCCCAGTATTTGACAGATCTTCTATTTGAAGATTAAAATTGAATTAGTTATTGTCTTTATTATGTTTTCATTGTCATAAAGATAAACACAAAACGGGTTTATTCCTTACCATTTACCTTAATATCATGGTAGAAAAAACTTGTACTCTATTTTACATCACAAACACTTCTTTTGTAGAACTTGTTTATTTCAAAATGTATAGAATAATAAGACCATAATGATGAATAATAACAGTTTTATTACGTTATAAAAGTCATGAAACATCTATATTGGTTCATATCATGCGAGATTTATCTGAAATGATTGCAGTCAGATTGTCGTATGGCGTATCCGCTGCAATTATCATCATCATCATCATCACCAGCTCACTATATGTCCCCACCGAGGGGCTCGGAGACACCCTAATAAGGGGTGACTAGGCCATAGTCAACCACGCTGGCCAAGTGCGGGTTGGTTGACTTCACACATATTTTTGAATTTCTTCGCCAATATGTGCAGGTTGCATCACGATGTTTTCCTTCACCGTAAGAACGTCGGGTAAATTATGTACATATGAAAATTCGAAAAATCGAAAATCACATTGGTACACGGCGGGATTCGAACCCAAGACCTATAGATTACAAGTCAAGTGTTCAAAGCACTAAGCCACCGACGCTCAAATGCAATTATGCTATCAAGTAATCATAATTTATTAATACAATATTTAGTTTAATATCTCTCATGTTGGCGTCTAAAGCATCTCAAGTAAAACTTCAGCGAATGAAAGGCAAGGATTTATTTTTCAAACTGTAATCACTAAGCTATCACTATTAAATTTAGAATTCTACATGTTCTCGTTGTAGCAAGGTTAAGTAAGTCACGGAGATACTTAATTAAGTTCTAATTACATGCGTAACTTGAGTGACAAATGCTACGTCACTTTACTAGTACATTGTTGAAGATTTGTTTTTACTATGGAAGTACTACTTGTTTATTACCTCCATGTAATAAGTACTTACGATGGAAGTTTTTACTCAATTGAATTCTTTATTTGGCTTGACATTTCGCCTGTCCTAGACACATTAACATATTTTGCAAAGCATAATTGTTACTAGTGTATTCGCACTTCAATTTTGGTTAATTCATAAAAGGACGATTGAAATAAATACTTTAAATATAATACAGTAAACATCAAACTAAGAATTGTCTCTTTAGGGCAATTTAGTAAAAAATATACCAGAACATTATCACGCTCTTAGTTTGCCTTTCGTTTAATTATTTATTGATACCCAATGTAATTGTTTAATTAGTAATGGGACTAATTAAATTAGATAGCTTTGCCTATTAAGCTAGGTATCAAATTACGTAAGCTATTTGCTTTTAACGAAAAAAATGACAATGAAAACAGCACGCGTGTTGAACCATCCGATCCGTTATTGTTTATAACGTCGAAGTGTCGAAGAAGACGGTCCTCTGCAACGGATTCCGTTCCGAGAATTTGAAATTTAAAAATTAAAAAATGTTCCACTAAAATATTTTTAAATTTTAATCTGCATTAATCGAAACTCGAAAATATCATCTGTGGTATTTCGCAAGTTTAAAATTGAAAGTTTTTTCAATTTGTGATAATGTTGGGAAAGCATTCAAAGTTATTTTTTTTAATTTCCATCTGTGCTGTCATTGTTGCTATCGTGTTAGCTTCGTGGGGTTTCCCGAAAATAGTAAAGCGGCAAGTTCAAAAGGTAAGAGAGTGATTATCTTAGAAAAATGTATTTAATATTTATTGCTTGTTAGTTAAATAATTTAATTTAAAGTAAAATTTACCACACGTTTTACGCTCGAATAAAAATAACACATCATTAAAAACATCACTTGTATCATTCGGAATAAAACACAAAACTTTTGATTACACTTAGCACGTAATTCTAAACCAGTAATAAAAAGGAGGAGGTATTTTTTTGTATCTACAATTAACATGTATATGATTTGTAACATAACATAACTATGTTACTTTCGTACAATGTTGCTACTATATGATTTTAACATAACATGTTTCACAAAATGTTCAACTCAATATGTTTAAAATATCTAAAATAAGCGTTAGATTACCGGTTTCAATATTATAATTTGATGTAGTTATAAAAGAAGGTTTGAAACCTATAAGCGTATGTTACAATTTTCGTCTAATCTAGCACATCAGTATGTTTTACCAAGGATTTACTCAAAAACAGCACATAAAAAAAATATCTAAATTCTCACATGAAAAAAAATATATTTTCAGAAGTCTTTCAAACTAGTTGTCTCACGCGATACCGCACGGTTTACAGCGCTAACTACTTCCATACTTCCGCATTTATAATGTTAATTTAATTACTAATAAGTTAGAAGTAAGATAATTATGACAATACCAAAAAATCTGAGATAAATGTATACTTAATCAATTATTACTCAACATAAAAGTTTACCATGAGTTTTATAGATATACGATCCACAATGTCTGTAGTTTTTGCTCCTGTAAACAATGTAATAATTGCAATTTTCAAACATCTCACATTACTTCGCGATGGTATTAAGATATATTTCATCATTATCCAGCAACTTCGTAATAATTTACTGTTTTATGCGACTTTATTTACATTAAACTAAAGAAGATTGAAATCTTATTTAAAAAAATGTTAAGAATAATTTTATAATTTCCCACGCATTCATTAAAGGATCTTTTTTTCTATTTTTTACATTTTCAACGACTGTTTACAGACATTATTTCATTAACATAATATACAATCGATTTAATATTATAATAAATATAATATCCACAGTGTAAACAATGAAAAGCAACTTAAGATTCAGGCCGAGGTTCTCACTTTATGATACCAGACACCTTAAGCGGCGTCTACATGAACTAAAAACCTATAAGACATTAAAGAAACATTAAAAATAGGTGTTTAAAACCAATAAGGCTTTATGTCATTTGAGTTATATATATATTTCAATAATATATATACGTATCGGTATATAAAAATATAGATAATTAGCTGTTTCCGTGCGCCTTTATCAGCATGAAATTATGAAAATTGCATTTTATTGTATATATATTTTATCAAGTACAAATGTCAAATGTAATGACATGATTATAATCCACGGCAACCTTGCTTCCTTGCGTCTCCTTTGCCTCCAGAGGGTAGATAAATAAAATCATAAAGGCAGTTGCTGATAAACCGAATTTTTAAATTAAATTAACTGCATATGTCAAATAAGTAACCAAATAGATAAATAACATTAATTAAAAATGCTACATTATTATTTTATTTACAATTTTAATTATTACCCAAGCAATACCGGGCAGAGACATCTAGTTTTCTTTAGATTTCATTTATCTTAATACACGTAAAGTGATAATAAAATGTATTATTATAAATTAATCCGGTAAAGTTATTCTTATGTCAATAATTAAATACAATGCATTGCAATAAAACTACTTCTTGCATAAGATAAGAATACTATTGTAGCTTCAAATGTAGATTTGTTGCCTTAAGTTATATAGATATTGCCCGCGACTTCGTCCGCATGGTATTAGAATACATACAAACTGTATAAATTACAAAAAGTTACGTATCCCTCGGGAACCGGACATTTCTCTAGAGCTTATTCCATGTGTACTCCAGACTTTGTTTTATATCTGTGCCAAATTTCAATAAGATATGTTGAATCGTATGAAAGATATATTAATGAATCCCACGGGAACCGTAACTATTCCCGGGATAAAAAGTAGCCTATGTGTTCTTCCAGACTATGCTCTAAACCTGTGACAAATTTCATTGAGATTTGTTTAGCCATTTAGGCTACAAACGCTAACAAACATCCATCCATCCATCCATCCATCCATCCATCCATCCATCCATCCATCTATCCATCCATCTAAACTTTAGCATTTATAATATTAGTAAGATTACAATTAGGTATCCAAAATATGTGCTAACAGAGTTACAGAAATCGTTGTCACGACAAGTACAATATTTTATTATGCTTATTACTATTGTAAAAAGTATAAATCGTCGAAAATCAAAGGCTACTTCGATACAGTATGTATAGTTTTTTAATTAAACATCTTATTAAATAAATTGAATATTCATGAGATGTAATTACAAAAAATTATAAAGTAGTTCTGACAACTATTTTTGTAGTGCCCCGACACGTTCGTATATAAATGATTGCTTTTTTGGGACTCGCTGTCTTAATATAGTAGGTGGACTACCTAGTTTTTTTAGTGCCAAGGATAGAATTGTACAAAGATGTTTGAAATTGAAATCCCCAGTTAGTGAACTTAATAAAAACAATCTTGATGAGAATCTCTTAGAGTATTATCTTAATTAAATCTGTATATTTTATTTCAATTTATTTAAACTGTAACATAATTTATAACACGTTGTTTTTAATTATAATGAACTAGCAGTTCCCGTGCAGCTTTATCCGTATGGAATTATGAAAATTTTATTTCATTATTTACATTTGCAAATGTCAAAAAGACATGACATGACAAACCTTGACAATCTTGCTTCCTTGATGTTGGCAGCAATTTATGGTCTCTCCCACATTAGGGTTTTTATCCATAATATTTACCTTCTAAGTTTAATGACGTGAGAATATATAGCCTAAAGCGTGACGTAAGTGTGGGGCTTTTTATTAAAAAAAAAAAAAAGGTTCAAAAATATGCTGTGATTGCTGACATCTTAGGCAACAAAGAAGTGTGTGTTTACCCTTTATTATAATAGTATAGATAAAATCAATCAGAAAAACGGTATAGGCAATTACCATAACTTGATAAATATCGCCGCTTTACTAATTGACCTTAAACTAATAACCTTAAGTAATACCTTCAATGGATAATACACATAATCTACGCTTCTAATAAAGAGGAAAGATTTGTACTTTTGAATGTAACCTATAAACTCGAAAACTACTAAGGGTACTTTAAAAATAATTTCAGCACTAAAAAGCTACTTTATCACTGAGTAACGTAAGCTTATTTTTTTACGTCTGTGCAGACAAAGTCGCGAGCAAAACCTACTTTATTGAAAAGTGAGATCATATTGTTTTGAATTATTTTGGTTTCATATTAAATTACCCGTTCTTAATTTCGACCACCGCGACTACTTCCCCAGTTGAAAAATATTAAATTGTTTATTAAATTTGAGTTCATAAATGTACTTTTTCAGAATGTACAAATTGATAAATCATCGAAGATGTTCGAGAAATGGCAAAAGCTGCCGATGCCTCTTACATTTAAGGTCTACATATTCAACATTAGCAATCCTGAGGAGGTCTTCGCAGGAGAAAAGCCGCGGCTACAAGAAATTGGACCTTATGTTTACAAGTAAGTTATTACAAGTAACATACTTAGAATAAGTAAATAAGTTCTTATATCGCCATTGTATCTAATTTTTATACCACGGATATCCCGACTAAAACAATTAGTACATCTGTAAATTCGACAGATGGCGTTACAAGTAGCTATGCAAATTAGAAAACTTGTCTCTTCATACTAATAAAGACCAAAAACTGTTAATTTTTGTAGTTATTTATTGTAAAATTTGATCATTTAACAGTTATAACCTACAATAGATGACCTTTACCCGATATGTACTGTGTAATTAAAAAAAAACAACGCGGATAATAATCTTTATCGTTCCTAACAATGCAAGGATAGGAAAAAATCTATAATGCCATTAACTTCAATTCATAATAGATTCTAAAATAGCTGTTTTTTTTTAAACCGATGCGTATCAAACAATTGGGACCAATTACGAAGCACTCGTAATTTTCCATATCGCGTTCTAAAATCAAAAATCGATTATATGTATGGTCAATTACTGAACACATTAAATTACATATTAATATTGTTGCTTAGTCATGTTTGTTTTTTAATTTTATATCCGGGAGTGAATACAAAAATGAAAATTGTACCTTTAGTGAGGTAGTAATTCTACGATTGTTACGATATCTATTGTATATTCCATAGTTTAATATAACTATTCTAACATTCTAGAGAGTATCGAGAGAAAACTGTCCTGGGATACGGTGAGAATGACACAGTGAAATATACGCTGAAGAAATCGTTTGTGTTCGACGCACAGGCGTCCGGCACACTCAGCGAACATGACGAACTCACTGTTATCAATCTTACCTATATGGTATGTTGCTATACAAACTTTATGATGTCTCCGATTCGTATTACATGCTCTGTATGCATTCTTTCCTTGCTTTACAAAGAGCTCGTCTGTTAAGGATCAGCATTTAGTTATCCACCATTAAGTTTGTATCTTTTGATACTTATCATTCAGTAAAGTTAGAATATATGATATTGATATATTTTTCTTATCCCATTTCGCGATATACCTGAACTCTGGCTAAGTGTTTGATATTTGCGATATTTCCTTTAATCTGATTTAAATTTTATTATCTATTGTCGATTTTATGTTAATTTTAGTTTTACAAAAAACAAAAACTATTGAATTGAAAACACTTTTTTTTCAAATTTACGTCATCTCTATAAAAAGTAGATAAATTGTCAAATGATTAAGACAGCTATTGTGAGCAGCTGGATATTGAAAATACCTTTGGTTACTTGTATGAAAAAACGTCTAAAATTTCTCACGTTTTTTACCTTGTATTGGAATGTTCATTAGTATTGAACTTACATTTTATTATCTCCAAGGTAGGCTTTTTACAACCGATTGTCGTGCCGAGATTTACGATCTATCATATACTGTAGCTACGTCTAATATTAATTTTATTATTTTATACTACAAATTCGATTTATTCGTATACAATGGAAATTTATTATCCGTTATTTTACTGCAGGAAATTAAATATATCTTTGATCTAACCTTCAACTCGACTTGATTCATTGATGTTTTCTTTTCAGGGTGTTATATTGACTGTTAACGGTATGTTGCCAGCAATATTGGGCTCCGTAAATAAAGCGTTGGAGATATTCTTCGGCAATCTGGCGGATCCATTCATGAGGGTCAAAGTTAAGGATTTATTATTCGACGGTACTTACCTCAATTGTGACGCAGATAACTCCGCATTGAGTGAGTATAGCCTTCATTATTAACTTGCTCTTGTCCATACAGAGTCGGCACAGTATGCTCTTCCATACATCTCTATCAGCCGTCATATCTGAATTAAGTATGTCCTCTTTTACATAATCCATCCATACTTATAGAATTTCACCCTTGTAATCTTTCATAATCAATCTTAATATTTTTTTATTTATGTTTTTTCGCCCGCGACTCCGTTCGCGTGGGATTAAAAAAAACAACAGTAAGTAGCCTATGTGTTCTTCCAGACTATCCTCTACATCTATGCCAAATTTCATCGTCATTCGTTCAGCCGTTTAGACTACAAACGCTAACAACATCCATCCATCCATCTATCTAAACTTTCGCATTTATAGTATGAAAGTATGATGACTACAGCCAACTTACATTATTATATTTAGCATACGGTACCACTGACGTAATCTGCGTGTACTTTCATCGTAACTTATAACAAGTATATCGTAACTTATATCTGACCATTGTTGGACTTCAGCCCTTCCCTAATCGCTTTTACAGAACGCTTCGGCTTTGGTATATGAAAAATTAATTGCCAATTAACTTATTAAAATATACGTTACTTATTATTCTATATTATATTATTACGAGCTGTTGCCCCCGACTTCGTCCGCGTGGTATTAGAAAACATACGAACTATATAAATAACAAAAGCTACATATCACTCGGGAACCGGACATTTCTCGGGGATGAACCTCATCCCATGTGTACTCCAGACTTTGTTTTATATCTGTGCCAAATTTCAAAAGGATATGTTGAACCGTTGCAGAATGATCGAGTATACATTAAAAAACTAAATTAATGTATCCCACAGGAACCGTAACTATTCCCGGGATAAAAAGTACCCTATGTGTTCTTTCAGACTATGCTCTTAACCTGTGCCAAATTTCATGGAGATCCGTTCAGCCGTTTAGGCTACAAACGCTAACAAACATCCATCCATCCATCTAAACTTTCGCATTTATAATATTAGTAGGATATAATTAATACTCCTTAAATCTTAAGTACACTAAGTTGAAGATAAATGGCTGATTACAGGATAAGGTAAATAATTCTGATAGTCACTTCATAATTATATCTTGCCTTTATTATGGTATCCAAAGCATAAACTTGTTTAAACAATGTAGACGTTATAACGAGATAAAGTATTATTAATATTATGTGCACGTCCCATATTATTAAAATCTTGCTACTTTATTTATCTTATTATTTTAAACAAAAACGATCTTACCGACCTTGAAACCGGTTTTGCTACTTCGGAGTCCCAAGGAGTTAGGTATGAGGTTCATGAAGCCAGATTACCTTTTCAAAATTCTCATTTTGACGTCAACACAAAATGTTAGAAATTATTGTGCACAAAAAGTATCAACAATTAAGAACAATAGATACAAAAATCTCAAATAGCATCTTCAGCTCTCAAAGTCGTAAGTGTTCACACATATGTATTAGTTTGAGGAAAAAGATTTCCATAAAATGACACTGAATGTGGCAGTGAAATAAACATAAGGAATTTATTATGTGTATTTAACTTTTTTCCCTCATTTTTGGACATCTATTGTAAAGCAAATTATATCAGGCGCTTCAGTTGGCACGTGGAGCAGAAGGGTCATCTTATTCCCGACGTGCCAAATCAAATATCAATTATAAATGAATTCTATGTGATATTCCAGGTTTGGTCTGCGGAACATTGAGAGCTAAGCGGCCATCTACAATGAGACTCGCTGACGACGGCAAAGGATATTATTTCTCGATGTTCGCTCATGTAAGACATTTTAACTATAATACACAGGTTTACACACGTATGGACGCAAATCCGTACTTATTTGCTTACAAAGGAAAAGTAACGGTTGTTCAAAAATGAATCACACCACAAAAAATCCAATAACTGTGGTTTATCTTTAGAATGGTTACTCGTATGTTTTACTATTAGTGGATATTTTGTTTTTACGTAGTATCTACGTATACTTGGACAAGTCTTGTTAAAAAGTAGGTTACTGTCAACAAGAACAAGTTATTTCTGCGATGCAAATTCCATAAAGTCAATGACCGAACCAAGTTGCCTTTAACCGTACATTTTAAGTCTTTTGATTTTACAACTAGCGAAATCACTTTGATGTTTTTTTTTTTCGAATTTACTTCTTTTAGCAGTGCACTTTGATTCGAAATGTTTCTATATCTTATGCTTTAAATTTGTGTTGGAGCTAGAATTTTTCATATACTTCCTTAACCTTTCATTATAACAATAAAATAAATGTATCGTGAAGAAGCAGTCTTGATATTTCTCCATTTCTTCGTATAAACTCGGTTCGTCGCAGGAAATTACGTTCAACGCGGTCTTTCTGTCCACTATATTTTTCATTTTCTCTTTTATTATATAAAATTATTTAATATGCCCTGAAACAAACTGTAAGAGAAATAATTCGCTTATACGAGTACAAGTCAAGTTAAATATATAAGTAAACTAGATTTTGCTAACGACTCCGTCCGCGCGGAATAAAAAAAACAAAAGCAAGTACCCTATGTGTTCTTCCAGACTATCCTCTACATTTATGCCAAATTTCATCGAGGTTTCTTCAGCCCTTTAGGCTACAAACATCCATCTATCCATCCATACATCCATCCATCTAATCTTTCGCATTTAAAAATATTAGTTGGATAGCTAAATTTAAAATGTTAAATTTAGTAAGGTGATTTATGCGAAGTGCAAATTTTAGCAAAAATATCCACATTGCATAATAACAATCAAAGAAGTGCGTCAGTGCGTGTGTTTCCTAGTCTAGATACAGCCTAGGCAATTTGAAATTTAGAGCTGGAATGGTTACCAGATATATTTTTTTTTAAATACTGTCCTGTAATTTCCAGTGGAACAATACTCAATTAGGACCATTCGATATGGTCCGTGGTACAGAAAACGTGTACGAGTTGGGCCACATCGTGTCGTACAAGGACAGGCGTACTATGAAGGAGTGGGGCGATCCCTACTGCGGCATGATTAACGGATCCGACTCTTCTATCTTCCCACCAATCGATGAAAACAACGTACCCGAAAAATTATACACTTACGACCCTGATATTTGCAGGTTAGCAATCTTTATTACAAGCTATTTTATAATTTTTAACAGGAGCAACTAACATATATTTTAACATGTCCATACTTTAACATAAATGGAATTGTATTTTCTAGAATTAGCAGTGTTTTAAAGTAAAATGTGTTTATAAGACTTTTTGGGTAATTTTATATCTACATAATTATTATTGGCAAACTGAATATGGAACGTAAGGGTGGAGGGTTGTTGCCAACATGTCTATCTGCCAAGTGACGTCATCAAATGGATTGTACATAAAATAGTGTTCGCGCGCGCCAAAAGTGTTATGGCATATCGAATTTATAGTCCATAACTATGTTATTTACATAAATATTTCCGATATCACTTACCATTAAATATCATATGACATCAAAATACGATACGTTAAGACCAAATAAAGTAAGATATCCATCATTAAACACCAGTTTTTAATAACCTAATGCTTGCTGAAGATTCCATTTATTATATCATTCCATTAGTGTTATCACGTTTCAAAGGAGTAAAACTCAAGTTAAATAGTTGAGAAACGCATTTCAATTTATCGAACCAAAAACTAATGAATGGTTATAAAGAGTTGGGAAACTATTAGTTCATTAATATTTTGTATCATAACGCAGATCTTTGGCTGTGGACCTCATCGGCAAGAGATCGATCTTCAACATGAGTGCGTACTACTACGAGCTAACTGAAACAGCGCTTGCTTCAAAGAGTGTCAATCCATCCAACAAATGCTTCTGTAGAAAGTAAGTAAAGTTAAGTGTTTTATACAAAAACAAGGTATAAGACAAGAAAGGAACATTTTCTACTTCTTATCCTATTTCTAAAAATAAGAAGTGGAAGATCATTAGTATCTTTGAAGATATCAGTTGAGTAGTCTATACTAATATTATTAAGAGGAAATAACTCAAAAACCACTAGACCGATTTTAAAAATTCTTTCACCATTAGAAAGGTAATTTATCTGTGAGTAACATAGGCTTTATTTTATTATTACTAATGTTTAGGAACTATTAATAAACAGCGTGTTTCTAGACGCCGGTGTTAAAAATTCACTAAACTTTAACTTTTCTCGGCTTACACTGCCTAAACCGCTTGAGGTATATAAAAATGATGTATGAAAGAATTGTAGATCTCAAAAAGTTCTACAGAAAAGTCCGCGATAGCATATATCTATCTTTAACGGTTTTCTTACAATAACCACTTTTTTGTTTAAAAAATGAATTAAAAACTACACGCTATTTGCAGCGTTCTTTTATTGATTTCAATATTAATCCTTATACAAATTCGTTTGTTATCAGGAGAATTTAATGTAGAATAAAATTGTCTCTTACAGTATTTAAATTGGACTAATAGTTTAGAAGATATCGCGAACACAAATAATAAGGAGAACGTAATAGGTTATATTTGTACTTCCACGCGGGCGAAGTCGCGAGCAACAGCTAGTAATTAATAATAATCAAATCAACCAGTCGTCAAACATGTTTATTTTTTAATGGTATATGTTACGTTTTACTTTGTAGATTAAATTAAAGGAATAATCCTATAATATGAGATGAAAATATCTTACAGTTAAGATGAAAAAATTACAGAAACAATACATGATGCTTTCTATAAATCATTTCTGATATCCATTAGAGTTTGCCATCTTACAATCTAAATAGCTCTAAAACATTTGAGACCTATCTTTGTTGAATAACTAACTACTGGTGATTAAATCTAGATCCTTTGTTTACCAAAGTATTTAATGATGACAACTGAGACCAAAACCACTGAATGGATTTTAAAGTATTATTCCTTGACAGTGATAAATGTTTTGTTTTAAATATACTTAGAATTGTGGCTCCTTCACAGCGGCTCTGAGCAATAATTTGCAAAGTAAATGAACTAGTTTGTCAGCTAACGGAAAGTACCTAAGATCGGAACAAAGTAGATTTTGTTTTTAAAGTTTAAATATTAAATGAACAATTATAATTAAAGTCATTTATACTAATTAAAATATATTTTCGATGCATCAACTCCTATAACTTATTTGGCGCATTTCCAACATGATAACTAGAAGCGCCTGCTCTTAGTAATTAGCAAACATGCATAGATGCGATGATTGTTTCCCAGATTTAATGTATTCAGCAAGTTACAAAATGCGCAACGTATAGCAAACATTTAAATTCACTAGCAGTTCTATGAAATTGCGTGAATAAAAAAGAGTATTAAAATTATAACTTGTTCCGCCAACTCTGTTTCGCCATTAAAACTAATAGGTTATGTGTCCGCGTTTTGCAATGCAGGACAGCATGTTTAAATAAACGCTACACTGAACTTTATGTCATGTAGTTATACTTTATGTTTCTAATGTTAAAAAAATTGTATAGAGAAAATACATGAAGTACAATTTCAACTTGTATGTAACACAATATTTGAATTTCACTTATGTGGAACGATGTAGAGGAAGAGCAAAAAGCAATTTAAGCTTTCGTTTTCAAATTGCGTTACAATCATAAAACATCAACTTAACTTTTAACTGGCCATAAAAACTCCGATAAACAAACAACATAAAAGCTTATAAAAACGAAATAGAAATATATCCAAGTATGTACATTTGAAGCTTTGTAGCTTACGTACATACAAATGTTCACCACCCCTGGCATAGACATACAGCATTATTTTAAGATATAAGAGCTCTTTGATAATCTATGAATTGTTCCATAAAGTACATGATTCATTTACTTAAGTGGTTACTCGCGTCAAACAGCACGATATAAGCCCAAGCCATTATACAAAAATGCGTCGGATTACAAATAAAAACGGTATCTTGAAAGGAAACAAACAGCGGAATAGATTCACAAAACCAGAGGTGAGTTTAAAATGTTCTTTCTTGTAGGAACTGGAGTGCAAGTCACGACGGATGCTTGCTGATGGGCGTTCTGAACCTGATGCCGTGCCAAGGCGCGCCGGCGCTACTCTCTCTGCCGCACTTCTACCTCGCCTCGGAGGAGGCGCGGGAGTACGTCTATCACGGATTGTTCCCGGACAAGGAGAAGCATAAGAGTTTCATATACTTAGATCCGGTTAGTAACTACTAAATAGTACCTAGTAAATTATATAATATTTCGTTTATCTTTTTTTTCAACTGTGGATAGATTGGTTTCTACTGTTAAATTATCAAAAATAATTGTACAGATAAAATCTCAAAGTACACACGCAGTTTGCTTATTTTGTTAATTACTTAAATAAGCAAAAAGGTATTATTTTTTTTCTTCAAAATTGAAGAAAAAAAAACAATACATTTTGAGGGAAATCTTAATAAAAACCCTAATACTTGATAAGAATGTGACGTCTATTTTCCTTTTGTCTACATTATCAGTGTAATGTAACAGAAATGTACACTTTTATTGTGTACTTAGAGAAAATTCATAAACTCTGGAAAAATTAGCGACGATATCGCTCTCTTTTTTACTAATAATAACATATCATTTTCCCTGTACACTTATATTTCCCAGTAAAAGCAATGAGGAAAACAGTAAAGGGCAATGTAACTTGAGATTTCCTTTTCAAACAAATAACTACACAATATCGCATAGTAACATAATATTTCGAAAAGGAATTATTTGCATGTCCTTGATACCAGTTTGCTGAAATGTGATAAATTAGATAACAGTCAATAAATAAACTTTATAGTTAACACAGCGTGTGTTGTGACGTAGTTTGAGTGGAATACAGTTTCACGGAAAACGTGTTTCGTTCATCTCAGAGATTTATAACGTTTATTAATAGATTTCGAGTCATCGCTTTTTTTGGGGAAACCATACTAGATTATTCTATTAAGATGTAACCCACAGATAATGCAGTACTTTACTAGTACTATAACTATTGTAAATTAGATTTACTATTGGAGGAGACCCATAAGAAAGCGAAATATCCTTTTTAGGTGCGACTCCTCCTCCGTCGATTTAGGGTAGGCAACGCATCCGCTATTACGAATATTTATAGTCATTGGTCGTTTCGCCATTTAGGCAGATTCCGGTCGCTTGTTTACCACCTTATGATATAAAAAACTATTACAGATAACAACGTTCTATCGACAATTTTTAAATGATGATGATGACAGGTGACAGGAGTGGTGATGAAGGGAGCGCAGCGCATCCAGTTCAATATAGAATTACGCAACATGCCCAATCTCCCGCAGCTGGCCAACGTGCGCACAGGAATATTCCCACTGTTATGGTTCGATGAGGTAAATATACTTCAAAAATTCAACTAGAAATAAGGATGATGTAATCATTTATATCAATTTGAATGACACATTTTGCAGTCAAAATGTGAAATCCTCTGTTAATTGTCAATTAAAATGGGTGAATTTAATCATGTAATACTACAGATGCGACCAATGTGGACTGTCATTTAAATTCAATAGGAACCATTGAACACACGCGTCGCCACGTTCTGTTTCAATTCGCGTATCTGAATAGAAATTGATACGTTCGTAATTACCTAACTGATAGTCATTTAAATCGAATTGTTAATTTCGCATGTAGAACAAATTTTATAATACTATAGTAATAAATAAGTTCTATTTGTCTTTTTATCAAGTAATCTTACTATTTAGATGGATGGATGTTTGTCAGAGTTTGTAGTTTAAACTGCTGAACGGATCTCGATGAAATTTGGTATAGACGTAGAGAATAGTCTGGAAAAACACATAGGCTTATTATTTTTGATTATATTTAAATAAAAATCAACAGAACACAACAGTTACGCTTAAAGTGTTCTACTTTTCTAGGGTGCAGAAATAACAGAAGCTATTCAAGAGGAATTGAGACACTCTCATACGTTACTAGGCTACGTGGAGACAGTGAGATGGGCAATATTGGTGATAGCTCTAATATCTGTGGTGATATCTGGTATCGCGGTCGCCCGCTCCGGAGCCATCCCCGCCTGTCGCAGGAATAACAGCATTAATTTCATCACACGACCCTCAAAGCCTACAGGAATCAACAAACACTAACATTTAAATAAAATCTAGAAGAGACACATTAATGATCAATTATTTTCGAAAGTTAGTTAAAAAAACAGTGATTAAATTACGTCAGAAATTGAATGAATTAGTAACACTTTGTTACCTACAACGGATTATTCCCAACCGTCACCCTGCTATGTCCCCACGTGAGAATAAAAAGGTTCATTTGTCCCACTTTTTAGTTCCAATATTACGAATAAGGTGACAGATGGAACCGATGTAAAATAAAATAAGTTCCAACCGTCCACTCGTTGCAAAAGGTGGGACGGATGAAACTTTTTATTTTAATCTGTCGCCACGTGGGGACAGAGCGGGGTGACGGTTGGGAATAATCCCCAACAAGTGTCTTTTTGATGTTATTATTCTAAGAATAAGAGACTTTTCTATAGTTATTTTCGTTGTTATTTCCACTCCAGTTTAATCTTGCCTTGAAGTTTACGTAACTCTAAACTAATAAGTACCTATTTGTAGTAAACCAAAATGTATACGGTTAGGTGTTTAAACATAGGACAAGAGTAATTAATACTTTAAGATTGGTATGTTTTGTTTTTTTACCATGATGTTGCACTACTGATTATTTTTTGTAATATGTCTCAAGTATACATGACTTTCATTACTAAATAAAATTTCTTGTGTCCGACTTTAAAAAAATGTAATTCGGACCTTTAGATAACATGAACTATTTATTTATGTAAATATAGATTTTTGGATCAGGGTAGAGTTCAAACTGTACTGTTATGCTTGTTGAAAAGCTACCTAAGCACTTTGTGTGTTTTAGTTAATATTGTAAATAAATCTTATTTTTAGTACACTTGTTTTTTTTATGTCCTTCAAAACACCCATATATTTTGTTTTCACCTGATTATTTCTTGTAAAGGATTCAGTGAATCGGTTTATCTCTTAGCCCGCATTCTCTCGAATTATAAACACAAAGGAATTTTGTTTTTAGTATGTGTTTTCTTAAATACACTGTTTATGATATCACAAAAACGTCTGTTAAAAAACAAACGACAGTCTAACTAGAAAGTCGAGATAAAATGCTTTTTTAAGCGTTCGATTCTTTTCTGTTATTACTAGAAGTGTTTTAAGTCGTAAAAAGGTTATACATATAACTCGTACTTTAATTGAAATAAAATTTTGAATATTAAAAGGAAAAATTAGACGAAAAAGGTGTAAAAAACTTACATTAAAATAAAACTCAAAAAATCAGTATAAAAATCTTTTATTATCAAACTAATTTAGTCTGTATCAGAGAAAGTTCCTCGGCCGCTGGATTCGTTGTCAGTGTCCATATCGACATCCTCTTGTTTGGGAGCGATCTCTGCCACAGACTTTATACAGCGTATCGTGTATTTGTTGAAATCACATCTGAAAGAAAAGTAATTATTTTAGTTGTACATATAATTCTTACCACGACGAAAGCTTTTATCGAAAATGGTTAAGGATTATTAAGATTTTATAAAACTGTACCCAAAAGTTTTATTATAAAAATAAATTACAACTATTTTATCTCCCGGAGTTTTAAAAAAGTCAGCATTAAGCCGAATCGCTATTAAAGGTTTTCGAATATTACGTTTGTAAATATTTTAGAAACTCCATACTAAGCAGAATTAAGAATCATTACAATAATCAACTTTCGCACGAGCGTTTTCATAACGCGCGTTAAGATAACTTTCAAGTAAACCGACATCTTTTTACATATATTTGTTCTTAAGGCAGTGTGCTTTTCAACAGCGACGCATTCCCTTTTTAGCCTTGCGATTAAGTGATTTGAATCCGTTCGTCGTTTAGGAGCCGCCAACGTGTTGTTTTAATACTCGGCATTTACGCTTTGTTACGTCTCGCTCACACGAAAGATTTAAACCTGTTGTTTAGTTCGCAAAACACTAATATTAAATTGCGTGAAAAAAACCGTCGCGTTTTAAAAGCGCTGCAAATACATGGGTGATTTTAACGCAATTTAAACGCGCGTTATAAAACCGCCCGTACGAATGGGGGCTCTAATATTTTGGAACTAAATATAAAACATTGCAATATATATAGTGTGTGTACATTCGTTCCACCTGACAGTATTATCGTGAGTATCACATTATCACGCACTTGACCTTATCGTACGTCTGCGGGTGATTGATGCCCGGCTTTATGTAATGCAACCACACGCTTGAGGAGATTTCCGATGGTTAAACCAAACAAAAAATTATCTTAAATGCATGAAGAAACCACTTGGTTATCATACTAATATTGTAGATGAGAAAGTTTAGATGGATGAATGGATGGCTTGATGGATGGATGTTTGTTAGACTCTGTAGCCTAAACGGCTGAACCGATTTCGTTGAAATTTGGCTTAGATGTAGGTTTAGTCGATAGATAGGCTACTCCCTTTTGGTTTTTTTTAATTCCACGGGGACGGAGTCGCGGACGACAGCTAGTATAAAATAAAAGTAAATCACAGTTTTATTTCAATCAATACAAAGTTAAAATGCGCCAATTATCACAACACCAGTTTTCGCCCGCGACTCCGTCCGCGTGGAATTTTGAAAAAACGTATGTGTTTTTCCAGACTATTCTATAGATCTATGCCAAATTTCAACGAAATCGGTTCAGCCGTTTCGGCTACAGAGTCTAACAAACAGCCATCCATCTATCTAAACTTTTGCTTCTATACTATTAGTATGAAGTATGATTAGGATAGTTACACAAAATATAAGTAAATTTTAAACTTTTCGATAATAAAAAAAAGACGGAATGTACCAAAAAGATAATTGGAATGTTTTCGAATGCAATGTCTTTCGAGAGATAAGTCATTTTTAAATAGAATTTATATACAAATTATTAGTAAAAACTTCTAAGTCAATATTAACATATTTCATTCATTATTAACATATTTCATTTGACTAACTTTGATTTCCGTTAAAGCATTTCGAAATTTAAATAACAAGGAAGCTACGTCATAAATTCTAACTACAACCCTCTGACCTTAACACAGTAATTTTGATAAATTACTAAGGGATTACAAAAGCGATCATTTTACGACTCTGAGTGTGGCATGAAACATTAGTAGTACTCATAGTGTAAATAACTTATCGTCGTGATTTGCTTGTGTCAAGATGACGTGACGTATGACGGCCGTGACAAGCAGCTGATGATTTACGTAACGCTGTTTGACCTCATTTGTGGTTTGATTTATTAATTTTGTTAATATAGTTAAGAAAAGGCTTTCAAATTGTATGTAAATGATTGTTATAATGATTTTTTTAACTATTGAGACAGTTTACTATAAATATTTTTAAAATCTACGTTACAAGAGCGTAGCTAAAAGAAGTAGGGATTGGGACAGCTGCTTCTTCTAGAAAATCGAAAAATCTATACTGTACAATATTATAAAGGGGTAAGATTTTTAACTCAAAAACTATTGGGCCTATTTCAATTCTTTCACTCTTAAAAAGCTACGTTATCAGTAACATAGAGTATATTTTTTAATTATACGCGAGCGAAGTCACGAGCAATAACTAGTTCAAAATAAATATAAAACTAGCAGGCCTAATTTAAGTCCCCTATCCCTTCCCACTCTTTTCTTATAAGGAAATAAAGAAATGGGTTTATTTAACAGTGGAAGAAAAAAGAAAGATCGTCTGTTTGTCTCTTTCGTCGATTAAAGGTAACTATGGATGTTTACAGCAATCGCTTCGCTATTTTGGCGAATGTCGCTACTGGTTTGGCAGCATATACTATAAATGTTAACTTACATTTTGCTGAGCTGCGAGTATTTAGCAGTGAGGACCTTCTCGAGCGCGAGCAGCGCAGTCTGCGGCAGGCGGGCTGGCGCCAGCAGCGCGCGCGCCCACACCAGCAGCTGCTCCAGGTGCCGGCTGTCTTCTAGAAGACGAGCCACGGAGCTGGCCAGACGGTGCCGGTACTCATCTTCTAGATCCCGCACTGTTAACTCGACTGGACAAAAGGGTAGTTAGTTGGCACGTCGGATGATAGAGTATTCATACAAGTGGTGTGCCAAGGTTAAACAATATTAGTTGTTCATAAATTTTGAAAAAATTATTATTTTTTATTTTCTTATTGAATTAATAAAAATCTTTCCAAAATTAGCTAAAGAAAACAAAACAGTAATTTATCGATGTAACAAATAATAGTTTAAATTCAAAGAAAGCACCATCTAGTTAGAAATTAACATAATCAACAATATAAAAATGATTGCGTTTTAATAGTTTATTGGCCTGTCTCACCAAATTGTAAATTGTCTGATAAAAATCGAACATGTAAAATATGTGATGGAAATATCTGATTTTGTTCCCTTATCTGACAGTGACGTCATTTTTAAGCTATCTGAGCCTCTATCAGCCAGTGGTGGGACAGGCCCTGAATATTATAAAATTTCATCACTAAAATTCAACATAAATTTCATTTCAGACTTTAGCGACTCAACAAAAACAAACACGCAGTCATTATTGAGCGCTTAGTAGATTTATATTCACAAATCTACACTTAGGGAGACATTAAAGAAGTGTGAGTGCAATAAGCTGTACTCACTATCCGTGTGTGGTGTAGCTTCTACACACTGCTGTATGAGGCTGTGCTCGCTGAGCTGCAGCGCGGCGAGCAGCGCGCGGCCCCACTCGCCTTCTTCTAGAAGATTCTTTACCGCGGCTGGAGTAGAGCTCGTCTCCAACCGGAATGGCCTGGATATAACATTACTATACTGTTCAGAAGACGTCAGAAACTAGTATTTACGGAACAGATCAGAATAATGTATGGTTAATGCGTTTTTTCTTATGTTATTTCCCAAGTTTCATACTAAATGTACTATTACAAGTGATTAGAGTCGATAATGGCT